TGAAGCAGTAGGCGTGAGCTTAAATGGACTCCAGAAGCTGGTAGAGGACAGGAAGACCTGGAGGAACATTGTCCATGGGGTTGCGATGGGTCGGACACGACTTCGCAATTAACAACAACAACAACAAGCTTTGTTATGCAGATTTCAGCCAAAGTTGGTACTATTCTCTCAAATTCTTTCTTCACAACCTTTATTCAAATAAAATATTTTGTTCCTGGTAACTTGGTTAAAATGGGAATGCTAGAGTCATTTATTTCAAAGCTTACTCCTGGAGGGGGAGATGTTTTATTCTGTTTTGTTCAAGATGTAACTATTTTATCTGAGGGAGTCATCAAACCCAGACATGTGGAAGAGGGTGGAGGGTTGTCATTCCAGAGAGGCATCTGGCAAGTTGTGTTGGTGTTTTTCGAAAGATTCCCCCCTCCCATATTTCTCTTTGCTACAATGGCGTAGTTCACAATGAAATATCAGATTTGAACAATATTTATTTGCAAAGATAGATTGTATCCTGGTGGTTTATGCAAAAAGTAAAAATAGAAAATTGAGTTTTTATTTTTTTGGTACACAAAGGACTTTTTTTGTTATTACAGAAAATGTTACAAGACTTTTCTATAAATTCTGAGATGACAGTAAACAAAATCAGTATTTTGACCAATCTGGTTAAGGAAAAATAGGTATTGTTTTAAAGAGACAAATACAAGGGAAAAAATGGATTTCTGCATTCAAGGAAGGAAGGAAGGAAGGAAGGAAGGAAGGAAGGAAGGAAGGAAGGAAGGAAGGTCCCAAAAAAGCATTGGCCAATCACCATTATGCTGCTGCCAAAACTAATTCCTGGATGTGTGCATATAATCTGTAGGAACTGAGGGACACTTAAATCCTCTTATTAAATTATGTGTTATTTGTGAGATATTATTGATGCCTTATTTATTTCACAAAAGCCCCATTGGAGCTCATGTTAGTCTCATGGTTGGTTGCTCTCTCTCATCTTTTTTTCTCCCCCTGCATTTTCTAATTGGAAAGTGTAAGAGTCCAGGACATAATAATTTAAGTCATATTTTTTTATTGATAAAAACATGTCTGAAGCAGTTTTATGCGGATGTAATGTGCTCCCTCCCCTGGAAGCATTTAAGTGGAGTTTAAACAAGCATCTTTTGAGGATGCTTTGATTTGGATTCTTGCACATAGGAGGGGGTTGAGCTCATCTTAAGAACCCATGAAGCGTGTCTCTGCGTGTTGTTCCAGTGTACACAAAATACATGCTACAGTGCAACTCATGGTTGCCAAGAGGAGTGAAGAAGCTTGCATCTACTCTTGCTATATATTTCATGTGAATGAGGTTTGCCAACAGACTAGTTAGTCCAAGTCTATTTCAGTTTCCTGGAGTGAGAACATACCGGACAGAAGCAGTTTCTTCAGATTTTCTTATATTATGTATGTGACAGAAGTAACGGTAGGCATGTATCTCTGTTGTGGGGCATGTATCTCCTGTACTATACTGGGACAGTAGAAGTAACTTCTGAATGAAGCTCCTTATAACAATGACAAGTTTGAGGAAGGAAAGGAACAAGTTTGCAGGCAAGATTGGAAGTTCTGGGAAATGTGAGAAGTCCCTCAAATTCTGCTCTTATTTCTGCAACAGCTACAGAATGATAAATATCTTGGATAACAAACAGATCATCTAATTTAAATCTAAGTTTAGACTCATTTATAAAACTGTTGACCAATTCTGAAACTATACTTGGCAAATACATATTTTTAAATTTAAGTTGATTTTCAAGAGCAGGCTGTAAAATAATATAGAATGGTGAATGTGGGCTAAACTAGCCAATTTAGGTTCCAGTCATGCTCTTGAAGTATGACTTCAATATTAGAGATGAAACATGAGAGGTGCCCTTATTTCTGCAACAGTTACATAATGACAATCATTATCCACTGAGGTTGAATACCAAAATAGTCTGATCTAATAAACAGCAATACCTTGGCTATTTTTCTATATTTTCTACAAACATTTGGCAGCTAGCACAGCTCACTCCAGTGATGCTGGGTCAACCCATCTTTTCTGTTTCCTCAAATGAATTTTTTCCATCAAATTTAAGATGTTTGTTGCTATCCTTTAAATTAAAAAAATGCATACTGTGGCAATAATATGGAACAAGAGCTGTACTGAGGATAAGCTTCTAAATGTAAATTTTCCAAAGCTACAATTTGTTTATATTGATGCTATAATTCAGCTGTAATTGTCCACACCATTTAGATGAGTCCATAATTGTGATTTATTTGTTCACTTTTAAGACACTTATCTTTTTGTTAAAAAGGGCATACAGTAAGTAATTGTCACCATAAGAAGAACCAATTGCACTCAGTTGCTGAAAATCCCAGCAACGCAGCAAAAAAACATTAGTTTCGATGTGGCTGTGGATCCCACATTCCTATTTTAAACTTGTAACTTAACTGGGATAATACAAAATTGTATTAGTTATCTATGGTCAGTTATCTTTCAGGTCTTTCCAGGTTGTAAATTTTGTATCCTCTTTAACCATGTCACAACTTTGATTTTCTGTAAAGGTGATAAAAGAACTCTGGATATTCTAACCACTTTAATCTCTTATAATAGAGTTATATTTGTAGAAAATATACAATTAAGTTGTTTTCGTATTATACTTAGACCGATTGATTATATTTGTGTTAAATCACTACTACTAGCCACAAGCTAGGGATTCTTTTCCCTTGAGGCATATGAAGTGCAAGCTTCCCTATGCATTTGGATAAAAAATGTAATGTAAACCAATCTATTGCATATGGACTGCATTTCATTCAAATTAATTCCATTACACTTTCCAATATTTTTAATGGCATGTGCATCTAGCATGTCCTCATTTACTACCTGACACAATTAATTATACAAGACTGGAGATGAAGCAGGGAATCATAATCTTTGAAAATTATGCTGTTTCACAGAAACATCCTAGATTTTTTTTGAAGGGGAGGGGGAATTCTCTTAACTGTATACAGCTATCAAAGATATCTTCCAGCAAAGAATGCCTAATCTAAATCAGAGGTGGGCAATCTGAATGCTACAACTGGCTTATTAGATTTTCTTCCACATATCGCACTGTTGAAATGGGACTGAAAGGCACTCAATAAAGACAATATAATTTCCAAATGATTTTTTTCTTGGGTAACCAAATAAAACCAGAGTATTAAAGTTGAAATAGGTTTGAAACATCTACAGTATAACACAAACTCACAAATAGACAGAAAGAAAAAAAATTAAACAGGAAATTCTGCCCCAACTTTCCAATCTTATCATAATGTTGCATCTCTGCCAATGACAGTTGTTGGTGGGTAAAATTCCTCTGATTGAAAAGTGTACCCTTTGGTCATAAAAAAATGTCTGGCCATGCTCTAAAGAAGAGTAGAATTAGCCTAATCACTGAGATGTTTCTTCAACAAATCCAGAAGTAATTTCTTGTTAAATCAATTGTTTAGTATTCACTTTATGTGCCATGGTGATTATGAAATACACTAGAAATCTTTGGTTAAAATGTCTCTTCCACCATCAAATTACTAGATAGTATTCATGCTATTATACTACTTTTTTAATCCAACTCACTGTTTAACTCTCTATTTTACAATTTTGGAAAAAATATTTTTGCAGAGTTCATATAAAAACTATTCAGATCATAATATTTGAAATCCTTTATAAGATAAAGTGCCATGTTTATGATTAATATAGTTATTTGTACGTTTAGAGTCTGACATTTCACATGTAGGAAATAAAACTACACCAGTTTATAGGTAACCTGGATGATTTAAATCTTTGTTTAGACTCATTTGTAAAATGGTTAACCAACTCTGAAACAATAAGTAGCAAATACATATTTTAAAATTTAAGCTGTTTTTCTATATCAAGCTTTAAAATAATGTAGGATGGCAACCTTAGGTTAAACTGGCCAATTTAAGTTCGTCATGCTCTTGAAGTATGATATTATTATTAGATATGAAGCATGATAATTGTGGAGCATTGTGGTTGATATAATGTTACTAATAACATTGGGGAATCCATCTGTGGGAAATGTAAATTATCATTTCTTTCTAAGAAACTGCTAAGGGAAGCCAGCTTGAATTATATGAATGAACTTTGACTGGATACTTTCCTTAAATGTAATCTTAAATAGTTAAGCAAAACAGAAATTCACATGAACATCAAAAATAACAAATATGAATTATGAGACAGAATAGGACACACAAACTGAAACCTCTATCACATAGATACCCTCCCAAAGTTCCACAAAAAACTGCTAAGTTGCAGTTTTAATGTGAAATTGGGAACAAGGAAATTATTAACTAGGAACAACCAACTGCATTCATTTAACAACCTAATGTTAGTGAATTAAAGTTTAATTTTTGGCCTAGTGACACTCACTATTTCATTCTACCCCAGCATCCCATTTCAGGTGCTTTCTTCAGCTAAAAATGTCTTATGTACTCTTCCTAGAGTTTTCAAAATTACTATTGTTTTTCCTTTTAATGAAATTGTAGAAACTTAATTCACAGAAAAATAGATAGCTGTATATTGTTAGCACTGCAGTTAAACTGTCATTATACAGTTTAATCCTACATATGTTTATTCAAAGGTAAACTTTTAATTTTAAATTAAGATCATAGGATTACAGCTTTAAATAAAATACCAAGTTATAAAATCATACATACTGCATATCTATTTACTGATAAAGTAGTATGAATCTGTTGAATTTTTTTAACAATCTCTGCTCCAGAAAAGCAAAATACATTTTTCAAGTTAACCTTGAATTTAAAATCCGTTAACCTAGTCAAGTGAGTCATTATAAACAAAACTCAGTTGTGTCTCCAAATTTATTTTAGCATTTAAGAAAGTTCTTGTTCTCAAGTAGATTTTTAAATGGATAATGCTTGATAAAAAGGTTTAAAATAAGATTACAAGTTATTATATTAAGAATATATTCTTTTAAGTGCTAGGCAATAAACTGATTCAGTTTGATTAAAAACTTAACTCATCAGCTTTAATAATGATGAATCAAATGTGAAAACTAGTAGCTTTTATTGATAATACAACTATAGATCTCTTATAAAATTACATGGAATTGTAGTAGTGCACATGAAATTTTTTTTCTTTAAGAAAATAATCTATCTGTTATAATCACAACACATTGTTCTCTTAATTACTGTAAGTATATTTTCTTGCAATGAATTGGCTGTCTATAAATGATGGATCCACCGATGCAACTTTAGCAGCTATAAACGAATGAATGCAGTTTAAAACTGCTGTCAAATCCTGAAATTCTAGTTCCTGAAAGGAAAATAAGAAAAACAGAAAAGGTGAAATGAAAAGCATCAATAATATTTTTCCTACAGATTATTACGCTCTCTAATTTAACAAAAGATGGTTTTCTTTAATATATATCTTCTCACTTGAAAATATTATGTTAGTATTTTAATGCTCAAGCTAATTGATCTGATGTAGTGAGCACAATTTAATTTGTGCTGCTGCTGTGGTTTGAACTTATCAACTGTGAATCCAAGTGCAAAAGATGCTGAGAGAGGAAAACACACACAAACACATAGACTCTAAATTCTGCACTTTGCATATCTTGTTGAAAAATGCTCAGTATATTATTATACTATGCTAAGCTCCTTCTCTTTTTAACTGTGTGAATAAATGAAGGAAGAACATTCGTTGGAGATGTGTAACTAATGAAGAAATATCACCTTATATCACAAGTGCTGCCACTAAGTATCTCCTGAAGAAACAACTGAAATGAAATTTCTAAAATGAAGAAATGTTCTTTAAATTTGCCATTGGATTATCAAAAGAAAAGAAAAGTCAAAAGCATTTTGATAACTAGCAATATTTGGAATATTGGTGGCCATCACTAGATTTTGCTCAAAGCTATCTTCAAGATATGGTGAAGTTTCTCTGAGATGATACAGTTGAACAGTTTCAAAAGTAGCCAGACAGAGTTTTAATGAGGCCTTATTCATTCTTTGGAAGACTTTTTCTAAGCCCATTGTTTCCATTTTCTAAAATAATTCTGTTTTACTAGAAGTCACTATGGACTTCTTGGGACAAAATCTTAGTTTTATTCCATTGTTTTAATAACTTTCCTAATAGATTGTTGGCATGCTATGAATCTGACGAAGTATCCTCATTATGTTCTGAGGAGTTAATTATTTAAATATGGACTGAATGACCTAAGCCAAATCTTCATCAATGGATCCTTATCAAACTAGGGTGAGCTATTAAGAGGGTTCCAAAGAGTTTAGTTCTCACCCTAGTGCTCTTAAATAGGCTACCCTCAAGGGTGAAAAAAATACTGCGTTGTAATGCACAGCATTTTTAGGGGTGTTATTATTTTATTTATATAAGTATGAACTATAATTGTCAATCGATAATGAAAGCTTATTCCCTAATAACTGTTTAACTACTATATATGAAAACTTACTTAAGCTTCCTCTTAAGTCAACAAGATCCATTAAACTCAATTAATGTAGGACTTGCAATCTAAACTGAAATCTCACTGCAAAATAATCCTATTTATACTTGCTTGGGAATATTGGAAAGCTATGCTTCCCACAAAACCGACATGGAAAATGTTGATTAAAATTAAAGCAGGGAATAGACCATTCAACCCACTTATTGACCAGTCTGTTTGAAACGGTCTCAGCCCATATATACAGTGGGGCCTTACTTGTTAGGGGGAAAAAAAATCTGTTTTGACTGGAGGAGTTGTTGTTTTTTTAAACAAAAAACAAAACCCAAATGGGTGTGAATTTCTTTTCCTCAGCTTTTTTAAATCTCCTCCCTGACTACCTCCCTAACTCATCCAGATACAAGAAAATGTTTTTGGCTACCAGAAAATAGCACTTTTTCCTTAGGAGAGCCAGTCTGGTCTGGTGGTGAAGGCACCAAGCTAGAAAGACTGGAGACTGTGAAATCTAGTCCTGCCTTAGTTGTGAAAGGTGGCTGGGTGACTCTGTGCTAGTCACTCTCTCTCAGCCCAACCCACCTCTCAGGACGTGATTGTGGGGAAAACAGAAAGAGGAAGGTGGAACATTTTCTAAATCAATAAATGCGGGATAGCATTTCATAGAGAGTTTTAAAGTGAGCAATGAGAGCTGGACAACATATATACAATTAATAGATTTTCTATTCAATATTAAGCATGTGCAAATAATATTGAACATGTTTAAATTTTAATGCCACATGATGTTTACACTCCTGAAGCATTAATAGTTCATGTTTCACTTTTTCTTCTAGAATGTATTTATTGTTTTGTGTGTGTGTGTGTGTGTGTATTCTATGTAGAAGCTTCCTGATTCCAGATGGAAGGCTTATTTTATAAAATTAAAAAAACCCCAATAAAACAGAGAGAAAAAATCATGAGAGATCCTGAAGGACAAAACTGATTCCTCCCAAAACACTCCAAAGAAAAATTGATCAGGGCTAAGCAACCACTCTATCCCCAAGCATGGCAACTAAGATTTCAAAGATTTTGGGGGAAAAAAAAATCAGGGTAAGAGCTTCATGGATCTCCACGAGAGGTCAGAATAATGGACAAGGTCCAGGTCCTAAGTCCTGATAGATGACATTGTTTAACTGGAGGCACCTGGAGTGGCCTTACTGAGCAGGCAGACACAATGAGAGAAAGGTGGTCCCTCAGGTAGCCAAGCTCTCGTCACCTTGTTTCTAGTATCTCAGCCCCTCCTTCGACACACTCCATTTTCTCTTGTATTTCACTGAGGTAATCCTTTTCCCAGGAGTATGGGATTTAATTTTTCAGCCCATATTTATTAATGTATTGAAAATGGTTTCTCAGATTAGAAAGAAAAGGATCATAGTCTCAAAACATTTTTTCTTATGGACTATATATTAATCCAAATAATAAGATGACAAAGAATATGGTAGCCTTAATTTCTGTTAGGATGAAAAACAAATTAGGCAAGAAACTATCCCCTACTCCTACCCAGATAAAACTCCTAGAATTTGAGACAGAACTTATTTCAGACCACAGCAAGAATGCATTTCCTTGGTACAAGTATATCGGCCCTAATTAAAGGTTCTAACTTGCTGCATTAGTCATAGTCTTATCACTGCTCTTATTAATATTTTAATCACATTGTCAACTTCCTTCAAAACACAATCCACATCTCACAAAGAAACCCACACTGCTTAGAAGAATTAATCAGTGGAACGGCTTGCCTCCAGAAGGTTTGGGTACTCCAACACCGGAGGTGTTTAAGAAGAGGTTGTCTGAAATGGTATAGGGTTTCCTGCTTGGGCAGTGGGTTGGATTAGAAAATCTCCAACTCCGTTATTCTGCTTTTTGCCTGCCTCTCTTTTAACAGCTCCCTGAAAAACTCACCCCAGTATTGTCATCCCATAGAGATCTTTGGTTTATTTGTTTGTCCTAATCCAGGGGTAGGTAACCTTGGCTCTTTTATGACTCGTGGATTTCAACTCCCAGAATTCCTGAGCCAGCTGAGCAATGCTGGCTCAGGAATTCTGGGAGTTGAAGTCCACGAGTCATAAAAGAGCCAAGGTTGTCTATCCCTGTCCTAATCTAAGAGTATCATTTGTCTGAAGCTGAACTGAGAGTCCACAGTCTGTTTTTTCTTCTACAGGATCAGCCCACCAAGATCTTCTCACTGGGATATTGATTTCTCCCTCTATGATTTTACAACTTCACTCAAAGGTAGCATAATGTTCAGGAGTTAAGCTTTGTAAAACATTTCTTCCTTTGGGCATAGTTTCTGCTGTTTAATGGATTTTTTTTCACAGGACTCTTAACCGTGAAGTAAATATTATCTAATACTGTCGTAATAAAAGACTATTAAATATTATTTCCAAGGGAAATAGAAGCCTAGGAACGTTTCCAGGTTCTAAGAGAATCTGGGAACCTTTTGAGATTTTGTATTTGGGTATGCTGTCTACATGGCTGGAAGAAGAAATAAGAAACAGGTTTTGGTAGAGTCATTTGAAGGTGCTACATTGTCTCTTTTGTTCCTATAGTCTTACAACTTAAATGACCATTTTTTTTTTTACAAGAACATCTGCTTTGTTCTTCTGATATTTGCTAGCTTGTCCCCTCAAGGGGAATGAAGTTCACATTGTTTGATTTCATTATGTGTATCTCATTATTGGCTATACATTGCTATCCAGCAACTGCAAATCCCATCACAAACTTGGCCACTGTGACAGTACAAACTGCATTAATAATAAATGTTCAAATCCACCTTACTCCCTGCCCCATCCTAGCAGGTTTTGAACCCAAAAAAGAATATGAAAACTGGAAAACTCTGCCCATCAGATGGCTTAATCAACTTTTTCTTTGTTCTCCTGGTATCACCTTATAGTTACTGTGCCTATATTAGCACAATTTGTGCAACTAGAGAAAATTTCATATTACTTAGGAAAAAGTAAACATTTGTATAAATGTCAATAGGAAAACAATGGTTTGTGAGGTGGATTATGAAAGCTCAGTATAATGCACTAATATACCAGTTAGGTATGTCGGTAAATTGTAAAGCTGTTAAACCAGATATTCACTTGCGTAACATTTTGTTTACCTATAGACTGAAGGTCCATAGAACACTGACTGACTCTATGTACAAAAAATAAAAATGTGGCTTGTGGAAAATTTAAATTACTTTTTTTTTGTATGCTAGCCAGCCAACTATCTCTGATATTGAGCTAAAAAAAAAAAAAAAGACTGGAGCAGGAGAACAGAATGGCAATGGAGTGGAAAGGCAGGATCACCAGGAAATTAATGGCTTCGTCCCAACACCAACTCCACTTAATATCACTAAGAGCGGAAAATGAAGGGATGTATGCGTGTGCAAGTACAAACATGAGACTGTGTCGTTTATGTGTAAATAAGTGTACATGTTCCCAGCTAACAACTGATGTGACCATCCGGTCTGAAATCATCCAACGCCATTGAAGATAGAATAGTAATGAGCTGTTATAATTTGGACTGAAAATTTATGAATGCTTATATGTGTTTTGAATCACATGAATCATATTTACTTCTTTACAAAGGTGGTTTTTTTTGAGGCAGAAAGGAAGACAAGCGAGTGAAAAGCAACTGTGAGTACAGTGGATGAATTTTATAAACAGAAGTAATGTGATTAGGCAGAAAATCATACATAATTGATTTCTTTAAACAATTATAACTTATCCACCAACTCTTAATATTTGATTGAATAATATACATGCATGAATAGAAGTTGAAATGTCTGTCACACAGTAGCTCAGCTCAATACAATAAGATATAATAAATACAAGAACAATGCTGACTGATTATTGGTAATCCACCTTGTGTGGAAATAAAGAGAAATCACACTATAATATGAACTAGAACCCTAGAATATCTTGATATATTTTCTATTTATAGTATACATTCTTTATGCAGCAAAGTATGGTACTCACCTTTGTCTCAATTTGTTTTGTTTCAATATTCTGAAAAAGAAGTTTAACTCGAGTTTTTCCATCATCTGATGACCCCTTGAGCTGAGAAAATTTAAATCTCCAGAGAATCTTCTGCAAGGAAATGGAGAATTCTTAACATTTTGCCCATTGGAAGATTTGTGTACTTTGCCTATGGACACTAATTAGGAATCAATGTGTAAACAAGATCATCCTTGCAAAAACTTCAACTCTATGGCTTCTCAAAAAAGATTATTTTGATGATGGGTTATGATCATGCACTTGCTGCAGTCAAACAATGTACTAGAGCAGTGGTTCTCAACCTGTGGGTCGGGACCCCATTTGGGGTCGAACGGCCATTTCATGGGGGTCGCCAAACCATGCTGTCCACCATTTTGTTCCCTTTTCCCTAGCTATCCTACTCCCTCTTATTGGTGGCCACACCCACTTGGGGGTCACCACAACATGGGGAACTGTATTATGGGGTCATGGCATTAGAAAGGTTGAGAACCACTGTACTAGAGCCTGGAAAGGCCAATTAGACCACGTCTGCCTTAGCCAGGAATATCTTTCTGAGTAATCAAAAACCTTTTCTCTCAAGCCAGCAAGGTATTTAAATCCATTAACATTCTTCACTCCAAAAAGAGCTAACATCAGGATGTTTTCATGCCCTCCCAACATCTCAAGGGCAAGTATAAATTTCCTAAAGAGCTAAGATTGTTCCCTTTGTGGAGAAGCAGCCACAGAACCCACAACCCACTTTGGGTTACATTGCAGCTTCGCTAAGGATAGCCAGGGCACACTTCATAAATCTTTATACATCCAGGCATTAATGATTAAATTTCCTCCTATTAGGCCAGTATGTTTCTATTTCCTTGAATGGGGTAAAATTTGGTTATTGTATTTGCAACATATGATAGGTCTTGTTGATTATTTATTTTTGAAATATGTAGGCTGCCCAGCTTGAGCTCTTCAGCTCTGGATAGCTTACTACTCAATTATTCTAATGAAAATCAATTTAAAACACTTACTAGGTAATCAGGAACTCAGAATAATCTCCCTCCTCTAAACAGAAACTCCAGTCATCTTAGTTATAATTATATCTTCATATTTTATTTTATCAGAAACTGTTCAATTAATGTGTTGACTTTCACAATTTTAGTCAATGAGCATAATAAAGAACTACTACAACACGCTGGTATTCACCTGCATTACACAACATCGTCCCTGCTAAGGTACAGCTGGCCTCAGTTTAATTTGAATAAGAGCAATGGCTATGCTTTGTATATTCTCGGGAATAATTTGCTATAAATATTTATATGGTATATATTATAAACTAAGCAGTCTGACATATTTATTTTTATAGTACTAAATAAAGTATACATTCATAGTAGCTCCATCACTTCTTTACTTTTCCTCCTGTTTTAATGGATTTCTAGATCTGAAGTTCTGTTTTTTATATTCATGAAAGAATATGAGCTTGCTTGCTGTGGTCCAGCATTTCATAGACTTGTCTAATAAATTGATTTAGTCAGAGAGAATTTTATTGACTAAACGTATTGTAATACATTGAGAAACGTATTAAAGAGGTAATTATTTTTTTGTGAATGAAAGTGAATTAACTAATTTGATATAAGTCAAGTGTTCTCCCTTTAAACTAAATTTGCAGTCTTTAAATCCAATGCACTGCTGTGGTCCAGCATTTCATAGACTTGTCTAATAAATTGATTTAGTCAGAGAGAATTTTATTGACTAAACGTATTGTAATACATTGAGAAACGTATTAAAGAGGTAATTATTTTTTTGTGAATGAAAGTGAATTAACTAATTTGATATAAGTCAAGTGTTCTCCCTTTAAACTAAATTTGCAGTCTTTAAATCCAATGCACTGTTTAAATATAGCTTATTTGATATATAATATTTCCAATAGCTCTTTAAATGTAGTGTTATACATTTATTATCTTTCAAATGATTTTTTTACCATATTCATGTTGCAAAACACTCAGTCTGATTTATCGTTCAAACATTTTAGAACTTTCTTCACTATGCAATTGTTCAATATCGTGTTCTTTCTAGAGATGCATTTTAATCAACACATTGAGCTGTTCTGGTGAGTGGGGAAAGTTTTGAAGGCAGATGGGAAGAACTGTGTCCAAAAGAGGGGAAGGAAAGAAGACTGTTTCCCTCTCTTATTATGCTTTCTCTGTGAGAAACAAGCATGTGTCAGGTAGACATTTTCCAATTCTCAAGGTAATTCAAAGGAGCAGCAGGACCATAGATTCTGAAGAACCAAGTTTTTCCCAATCTATCCACAGAGTGCCCTTCTCTTTACTCAATCAAAGCACGGCTCAGTTTCTAATCTTCCACCCTTTGAAATATGAAAACTGGAATTTTTCCCACACCAGAAATTGACATTCATATTTCCTAAAGTAACAGCATAACATATATTTTATTTTCTGATACTACTTACCTTTGTTTTATTGTCAAAACATGTGAATCCCACAGCAAAATCTAAGGTGAAACACAGGCTTTGTCCTTGCCAGGAACACATATAGGTTTTAGACTAGAGAAAGGATGAAATGTATATTTGTTAACTCTCAACTCATTTGAAGTGAAACACTGATTATAAACCGTAAGAGCTGTAATTTTTTTTATATACTTACTTAGAAGTTTAGTAATAACACATTGCAGTTGAATAGATGGGGTCAGAATCCATGTAAAATCAGTCAAAAAGGGAGTGAGTGCTCCCTTCTACATCTGAAACATTTCTAATATTCAAGATTTTTCACATACTTTTGGGGGATTATTCAATTTATCACATATTTCATATATAATAATTCCCTTCTCACCGCTATGGGTGGTCTCTATGTTCCCTAATCTCAGGTTCCTCTATCAGAAGCCTGGGAGTTTGAAAGTTTTGTGTAGTATCTTAGCTGCTCCTAACAATGAACTCTTCTGGACAAGCCGCTCTGAGGCCATTCCTGGGAGCTGTTGGAGCTACTCTCCCAGCTTAAGAGTCACAGCCCCGAATGCTCCTGTCATCACTGGGATCAATTTTTCTTTACTTTCCCATGCTCTCCAGTTCCTCCTCCGGCCCTGATCTCTCCAGCTTCTCATACCCCTTTTTTTATGAAGTTGCCGTTATTTGGCATTACTACATCTTTCAATCACTGCTGTCTTCTGGTCCTTGTCTGTTACCGTGATGTCTAGTTCTTTGGCCAGTACCTATCTGTCCATCTGGATCTAGAAATTCCAGAGGATCTTCACTCGCTTATTCTCTATGATCTTCTCTGGAATCTCCTAGTGCAGTGGTTCTCAACCTGCATTTCACGGGGGTCGCCAAACAAGGCTGTCCGCCATTTTTTCCCCCTTTTCTTTGGCCACGCCCCTGGCACCCGGTGATGTATAAGTTGTTGGGGGTCACCACAACATGGGGAACTGTATTATGGGGTTGCAGCATTAGAAAGGTTGAGAACCACTGTCCTAGTGGGACTTGGGAAGGTACGGCCCAGACTCAGATATTTTATGGCTCCCAGGCTGGATCTGGCCTTTTGGCTGTCCTTGTCAGGCCCGTCTGTGGTCAATCAGAAATGACAAATCAGATGTAAATAAGCATGCAGCAGGGGGCAAGAGAGGAAGCTGAGATGGGCTCAGCTCTGCACAGTCATTGTGTGCTCCTTCGGTTGCCTGGTGGCTACGAGAGGGCAAAGAGAGAGAAAGCAGTTTTTTTTCCCCTGCACAGTGTTCACCCTTTCCCTGGAGCAGCCTGAGGAGCTGAAGTGATGGAGTTTGAGAACATCAGATCAGTTTCAGCCCTTCACAACAGCCCCAGTTTCTCATGTGGCCCCTTGGCAAAATTGTCCACTTCACTCAACAAATGTCTCACTTAGCAACAGAAATGTTGGGCTCACTTGTGGTTGTAAGTTGAGGACTACCTACTGTATATTTGGTTACGCTGTTCAGTGTATGCTGTTCCTGCTGCATCTTACACCCTGCCATTATGTGCTGGATTGTCTCTGAGGCCTCTCTGCATAGAAAGCCCTCAGGTCCTGTCGCCTGTGGACTTAAGCTGCTGAATTCAAATGAATTTGAATGAAGTAATTCAAATATAAATTCTCAGCTTACTTTTTAACACCCTACCTGAGCTATGAATCTGAGATGAACAAATGTCAGTACAGTCCAGTGTCAATGTATAATTATATGTCACATCTATATTATGTGCCATTACACATATTAATACTTAAGTGTGAACGAACAGATTAAAAATGTGAATATCTTTCTTTTTTTCTTTTGGGGTTAAATTCACTGAGATATTAATAGCTCTGAATGCTTCATTTTTTTTTTACAAACTATTCCTGGACAAATTTATTCCAAATGTAATTGAGTTGACAATCACTAATTTTAGTAACCAGAAGAAACTTTTTAACACATCATTTAAAAAAAGAAATAGTATTTTAAAAGCTGTAAAATGCTGCAAAACTTGCAAGAAAATTTACATTTTGATCTACGTGCATATTTACTGTTCTTGTTTTCTTACCCACAGTATCTTTAATAATAAATGTTTGTTCATATATGATGAGTAGCATCTGGAGAAATGGAGGTTGATAACAGTTTTCAATTTGAAATATGAAAATGTTTGTCTTGAATAAATTGTATGTTTCGGGCTAAATATCTATGCAGGCATTATTTAAAGTGGACCAATAACATGTGAATTGGGACAACTTTGAATTAAGTAGACAAGTATTAAACATTCTCAGTTTGCAAATACTTTTGTAATACCATATTTTCCGGCGTATAAGATGACTCGGCGTATAAGACGACCCCCGACTTCGGCACCAATTTCAACGCTTTAGAAAGTCGTCTTATACGCCGGAAAGTACGGTAACATTTGGGCAGCGAGCTTTATAAATATAACTGATCATGATAATTGGTTTTCCTTGCAGCATGAATCCTAATAACAAGGTCCTTTTTTTACACATGTTTGCACAGAAAAGGATTATACCTTTGGAAATAGGCACAGAACATGGAGGCAAAAGAATTTTTTAACCTTTAAAAAAATACCCTGCATGTGCAGATTTGGGGCCACAAATTTAAGTCATATAGTGGCTTGAAACAAGTACAATTTTTTATGTATGTGCATAATTGCAAGCAAATATCAGAAAAGCAGCTCCATGTGCTGTACACAGACTATAATAACATTTAGACCTAAGTCAAAAGAAGCAATGGCAAATGTGCCTTAGGAAAACATTTAAGTACTACAAATATAGCAGTCATACTCTAATGATAATTATGTTGCTTAATATTTCTTGTACTTTGTGTGACTGCATAAATGTTAGGCTAAAGGCAAGGTCTACAGGAGTGCTTATAAACATTTTCTCTAGTGAATTTCTACCCTGCTTTGTGAGTCCAGATTATTTATTTTGGTTACAGGTGCAAAATATCAAATATTCATATTCATATATTCAGTTTTGAGACTAGTGAAAATAAAAATGTACGAACACTATACTTTTATTAGATTTTCAAGCACCATCTTGGTTTCCTCTCTCTGGTAGTTGATATACACATCTCTGCATATGACTCATAAAATTCTGCATGCAGGCTTTATTATTTATGTAGATAAACACATCAATATATATTCCTTTTTTCTTCTTCTTCAGAACATACATATTTCTTTGCATTCTTTTTCTTCTTCAGAACATACATATTTCTTTGCATTCTAAGCTCTGCGAACATCAGAAATACTGGGGTGTGACAGAATTCAAGTTTTTAATATTTAGGTGCCAAATAAGATCCAGAAGCTTTGCCTTTGGAAATATATTTGCAATAATTATGGATTTAAGGAACGGCTTTAAAACTATGCAGCAGATCCAGAGACCAACACTCTTGATCTAGCTCTAGCTGATCCAAAATATATCATAATTATGAAATGAGTATTTATTGTATACCTCCGTAAACAAAATCAGAATTTGTTCTTCACAGTACTCCTCAGAATGTGTAGAAAACTGTGAAACATGCATCCTTGTCCTATATGACTTCCTTTTGTGCATTTTAAAATACAAATGTGCGATTGTCATTAGCAAGGTACTATTATTGCTTTAAAAATATCAGTCACATATAAGCAGAGCTGCATACTGTATCTGTTTCATTGCAGCAAGATTACAAAAATTATACTGCATGACTAGCTATCCACAGGATCCGATGCTTAATCCAAAATGATGAAAGTGGTTTTGTGCAAAGCTCTGTTCCTTTCATATGTGCAGCCAGCACTGTGGCAGCAAAACACAGCTTTCCTCCTCCTCCTCCCCCCCATGAGAATAAAAAGATTAACGAAGAAGATTTTTGGACAGAAAGAAACTAAGTTAAGATCAATTTAAAAATATACCTATTGCTGGAGAAAACCAATTACTCTCTAAATCTATCCACATACTGCCACTCTCTAATAATTGCTTGCCATAATATATTGAGTAAAATTGTGCTATTTTAGTGCATGCACCTGCCTCTGTATATGAATATTGAAGAAGGAAAATAAACTACTGAATCAAACTATATGCCTAAACTTTTTTAAAAATAATTGAAATTATATAAAACCTTGCAGAGTACAAGACAGAACCGATCAAATTTGCACATCCTTCCAGAGGTGGCTCATTAGCCCTTGAGAACCAGTTGATTTCTTTCCAGACATTCCTTGATTGACTCTGAAAGATTTTCTCTACCTTGTTCACTGAAGCTTTTTGATTAATAAACTACAAATACTATCATATTTGGATAGTAAAAATCCAAATAACCAATAGATGGCAACAAAGAAATGGAAAACTCTTCCTTGCTGCTATATAGATTTTGGCAACCTAGACAGAGAAGCTCTAATCCGATACATGTTGTTCAAAGAACTATTAAGAGCAGCTTTATCAGAATGCCTACTTGATCACATTGAAATCGTTTTCAAATCCTTTTTTTCTGTTCTTATTGGTTTTGACTCAGGCAGCTTTCTAAAACTAACATGACTGAAGCAGGTATCCTTATTTAAGTTTTCCTATGAAAGCATCATGACTGTAATTAGCAATATGCAGCATCAAACCAAGCACTTAAATAAAATAAGGATAAAAATGGAAGTATATTAAGATATTTTTTTCTTCCTATTGCATATCTTTTATCATTACTTTGGTTGCTTCTTTATGCAATAATTTCAGCCCAAATGTTGGTGAGTAAGTAGCAATGTAGTGTACAGGTGGTCCTTGATTTACAACAGTTCATTTAGTGATCGTTCAAAGTTACAATGGCCGTCCCTGAAAAAACTTGACTTACGATTGTTTTTCACATTTACGACCACTGCTGTATCCCTATAGTCATGTGATCAAAATTCAGATGCTTAGCAACTGGCATGTATTTATGACAGTTGCAGTGATCTCCTTTCTCAACCTTCTGACAAGCAAAGTCAATGGGAAGCCAGGTTCACTTAACAACCGCGTTACTAACTGAACAACTGCAGTGATTCATTTAACAATTAGGGCAAGAAAGGTCATAAAATGGGACAAAACTCAACTGTCTTGCTTAGCAACAAAAGGT